TAAATGGGATAGATATCATTGACAGCGTTTAGTGGCCTGAGTCAGCATATAGTTCAGGGATGCATTAGAATAAATAAAGTATATGTAATTGTGGGTATAAGATACGCTTGTTTGTATAAATATGGTTTCCATATATATTATTATTTTACACATTCATTCCCACTTTTAAACTTGTACATGAATCTTAGCCCTGTGTCATTTTTGTTTTGCATTTTGGATTATTTTATGACGATCAGACGATGAGCTCGAATCTTGCGTACTTCCCGACAACTCAGAAGGAAAGGATATGAAGTGACGTGGAGATGTGTTACTATAACATCTAGATTGGGAGCTGTTAGTGTTTTGTCAAACGCTAATCACATCCCTACTACTACAGTCAGTATAAGTGTCAGTCTTGTTGGACTTAGGAGGTCCCTTTTGGTATGCTTTCTTTTTGGTTTCCTTTCTGTACTTTTATTTTATGTTTTATCTATGTGGCAAGGCCGCTAGTCTTAACGGTGTCAAACTCTGTAAAATATATTTGAAGCATATGTATGTGAAACAGTATGTTTTTAAATAATTAAGTATTGTCCTTTAAAAATTTCAAATTTTTCTGTATTTTTATAAGGTTTCATTAGAATTCCACTAATGGGACATAGGCTGTCTCAAGGTCTGCTTCTCCTCTGCCCTTCAATCTTCTATCCTTCTTGCATAGTCTACCACAAGACAAAGTACATAAGTACCAGCAAGAAACAGGCTTGAGTAGGTAGTTACTTATAGCATACTCAACAAACATTTTCCTTCAAAGTAACCAATCAAAATACCTTTCACAAGGTCCTTGATCACGTGGGAACAACAACAGGGCTGGAACTTCCAATACTAACACCTCCTTACCCCAAACAGAACTCTGGAACACTCATATCAAAACACCTTAGATGAGACTCCAAGAAGAAGATATAAAAACACCAAGCAATCAACAACTCCCTTGAGCTTTTGCCATTACATGATTCACAAAGGTTGAGATAGACTTTAACACCAACCATGTAGTTGGAGAGCAACCACTACTAAGAAGATCAGCTAACAACATGATGGTACAACTCCATTGCACACAAGTGCCTTCATCTTTAGCATCTTGATGTTCAGTCCAATGTCAGAACATTTAATTTACATCAATGGCTTGACTAGCCAACTGATAAAACCACACATGCCTAAAACAATCTTGACGATCTAACCCTTAGACTTCCAGAAATTATCCCACCTTGAGTGACTTTTCAATCATAACAGAACAAGAGTTCCATCGATCAATAAATAAATCTTGAGTAAACAACCTTCATCCTGTACATTGAAAAACAACAACCTGTCCTTTTCAGGATAACTCAAGAGAATGAACAAATACCCTGATGACAATATGCCTCAAGCACAATTCTCCAAGGGAATTATCCATATACGATCAGAGTCCAATTTTAATAGAAGAGGTAGTCACAACTATCAACAAAATCACTCATATTTAGCTTTAAAAGACCAGAAAGGTCTCCAAGATGTCAGAGTGAATGTCCCAAACACGTTTCTTTGACTTCCATGTGCATAGAAACTGGTAGAAATGTCTTCACAACCGTTCAACATAAAATACGCCACAAGATCCTTCAATGGAGTACTAAAAGTCTAGCTCCAGACTAGAAATAAACTGACCTAAAGAAAACTTCACCAAAGCAAATGGTGTCTTGATCTTCATCTTCACTAGCATACATATGCAAGACAAAATTCTTGGATAGAGGCTTCCTAGGTAACAGACCAGAAGACTCTTCAAGACCAATCTGAAGAAGATTCCCAAAACTTTTGATAAACACACAATGGTTTATCCTCCAGAACATATATTGCATCTCTCCTTTGTTTGAAAAGTTCAATCCTTGGAACACAAGCTTCTGCGCACACTCTATAGAAGTGATGTTTCAACATCTGGTTGAACATCGGGTCCTTTTCCCATGAACAAGACATTGGATCTTAAGTTCTTGCACTGTCTGAAGCTGCACCTTCAGGAGTGACACTTTTGACATCACAGATCAAAAAGGAAAATAAATTAAATACTTGTTAAGACCACAAATAGCAATTGATTTAAAATCCCAATTATGTATTCTTTAGATACAAAATATCTTAAGACATCCCTCAGCAACCAGAGAATAATCTTCCAAGCATAAATATTCCTTAGAATACCATCTTCTCTTCTAAACACCTTCGGTATTGCCTTTATGAGTGGACTCAAGTTTCTTGGGCTACCTAAAAAATGTCATAGAGTGTTTACCAAATCCATATATCATTAATTTGATATACACGATCTCGACTCAACCTTTTTCTTCCTAATACCCATCATGGCACCTGGTTGACCCGTCTCCCAAACAACATAGGACAATCCTTTAGAGGAATATATCACAATTCTTGCTTCAACACCGTCTTCAACAAGCCAGGACAAATGTCAGAGCAGTTTATAAGACATCATGCTTAACACAGGTATCATTATCAGCAGTAGCGGAAGAATCTACACAAATCACTCAGTCAACCATCAGAAGTATTCAAGTCAGATTCATAACACTATCCTCCTAGCTTCCAATCTCCTTGAGGACAATAGTAATGAATGAACTGATCATACAATCTCCTTCCTTGTTCAAAAGACCAGAAAGTATCTTCCCTAAAACTCGTTCAGAAACAGAACAAGATGCCTGCTCTGATACCAATTGAAATTCTAGAAAGCAAATCACAAATTTCATAAGAGATGTCGAGACATTGATCTCTGCTAAAAATTGAACAAGGACATAACAAAAACATTTCATTCTCTCAAAAACAAGAACACTCTGAACCATCCAGGTCAAAACAATGTCATGACAGATGTTTCAACATCTGGCAAAACATGTACTTCAGATTATAGATACAAACTGAATTAACATAGCAGAATGAAAGTAATAACATAAGATATGATGACGTAGTTTAGTGTAACTCACCTACATCTGCGGGTTACCAATCCAAGAATGAATTCACTATCAGTAGTATTAATTTATAGCTAAACTTCCTCGTTTACAACTCCTCACTTAATCCCTACCCATACAATTCTATCTAGAACTCACCATCTAGATAAGAGAACCCCATCTCAATTCCTAAATCACCTCAGTGATATCTAACAGTCACAACCTCCGGTGGCTGTATTAAACTGTCCAATTGAAAGATACCTTTCCCAATACAATATTCAGTCAAGAATCTTGACTAACAATAATACTTAAATTTGCTTAAAAGCTTCATCCAAGAACAATATACAATTCATTACCTACATGTTTCTGAATGTGTAAAACTATGTTTAACATAATGTATCAATCAATACAAAGGGTGACTTACAACACAAGAAAGTAAACAACTCTCAAAAACTTAAACCTTTATTTTCTAATTTTACAAAAGACTTAATAAGAATTCTTATTCTACCCTAGGTCTTGGTATTCCTTTTATAGCCTTCAGCTGTTCATGGGCTTCAAAGTCTCTGTTTAATCTTCCCTTAATCCATGTTCTGATTGCTCCTTAAATCTTGGACCAGATCTGCAATAAATCTGCTGTACCAGATCAGGATGTCGAGTCCACAATGCTAGGAAATCTTGACTGACATGTCTTCTTTTAGCAAATTTCTTCTTGTTGGAACATCTTATGTAATATCTTGTTTTACCAAAATTTTAGTCAAATCTGTAGAGCCTTAAAAAAGGATGGAGATTTGGAGTGAAAAAATGGTTTGAGAATGATGGGTTTTTAGGGTGAAGGGTTTGGTTGAAACCAAGTATGTCAATAATGGAGGAGTGATCATGCAGCTGAATTCTATATTAGATATTTCCGAATATGAATCTTCGAAAATACCTGACATGCAAAGGTGGCAAAAAATTTCAAATACCGCCCATAATTCCGAAGATGAATCTCTGAAGTATCTACTAAACTGAACAATTAAAATTTTTTTTCTTAAAATATTTCAGAGATGCATCTCCAGAATAAAAATAACCCAACATATGAAGTGTCTCTCATAATGGTCTTTGTTGAGTGTGCAAGAGGTGTATCCGGAGATATATCTCCGAAAAGTGGGGGTATTTGAGAAAATTCACGTGGTCCAGTAGAATGGTCTAGGGTGCATTAAGAAATTATTAAAAAAAAAAAGTTTATAGTAAACCATAGGCCTTGTAAATTTATCGTAAGGCAGACTCGGGCCTTCTAAAACTTAGCCTAGCCTAACCTATTTTCACCCTACTTCAAAATGAGAGAATTAAATGATAAAATTATATTAATAATTATTGTGTGGAATTATGAAAACACCTCTCAATGTAAAAGAAAAAAAAACTATGGAATGAAATTTAGAAACATTCTCTCATATGAAGAGATATTGTAATCTTACTTTTCAAATTTGATATAATTTATTTAAGTAAGGGCGTCTTTGTTTAAAGGATTACATTTATAATCTTGAAAATATTATCTCTGTATCTATGTATTTAAATGTTTTAAAAAAGAAAAACTCATTAAATTAAGTGCAATCCTTACTATTCTTACTCCATCACCCTAAAATGATTTGAGGAGTTTAGAACTTTTTCTTTAATGGTTTTGTTAGTCATTTCAACTAAACCATTCTTCTCGGGAGTCTTAGAAGATACTTTCCGTTAAAGGCAACAATGTACTTTCCATCATTTTTAGTTCTCAAACATTTCAATTTTCTTCTAGATGCTTGTTCAATAAAAGTGTGAAACTTTTTGAAAACTTTAAGAATTTGATTTTTTTCGTCTTTAATGGATACACCATTCCTTTCTTGAGTGGTCTTTAACGCAACAATGTACTTTCCATCATTATCAGTTTGGATCTTCTTCTTCTCTTCTTATATGAATTTTCACTTTGTTGTTTTTACAATCCTTAATCTTTAATCTTTCTTCACCATGGATGACACATCTAAGCACAATGGTTAGCAACAAGTTAGATGGAAGCCTTGGAAATTTAATGGACACTACAAAGGGAAAATGGGCACGAACTCAAGTAGTAGAAGAAATGGTAATGCACATGAAAATAGATCAAGCTTTTTCTTCACCGGGTTTCCTGATTCACATGGAGCTAAAGAGTTGTATGAGACATTTAAGGAATACAGAGACATTGATGAAGTTGTGATTCCTTCTAGACATGACAAAAATGGAAGGAGATATGGTTTCACAAGATTTTTCAATGTGGCTGATGAGAGAAGAATGGTTGTGAGGCTAGACAACATCTTCATCAAGAATGTCAACCTCTTTGTCAATATACCAAGATTTCAAAGAGACAAACATGATGACAAAAAACACGAAAATGTCTGAAATTATGTTAACAAGAAAAGTATATCCAAAACCAACAATAAGTCAAGAAGATTTACTGAACCATACAAATCATTTGCAAATGTTTTGAAAAATAAAGTGGGTACCAATATGGGAGATCATGAGTACCAAAGACAACATCACAACAAATATGATAAGAAATTGGTCTTTGCACATCTTCAATTTAACACCAAGGAAGAAGATAATGCCAGGTTCAATAAAGCCTACGTTGGTGTTGTTGCAAACCTGGGAATGATGTATAACATTCAAGAATCTTTTTATTTGGAGGGTTATTTTTCTATCAATATCACACCAATGGGCATAAATTTATGCCTAATGGGGGAAATGGAAGAAGGTGAATTGAAGGCTTTGGTTGAGGATGCTAAAGACTAGTTAGCACAATGGTTCAATGAAGTTCGAACATGGTCCCCCAACGATATTGAAAATGAAAGATTAGCATGGCTATCGTGTCTTGGAATCCCATCCCATGCATAGTGTCCAGATTTCTTTGAGTTTCTAAATTTCTCGGTGGGAAAATACATTTTCTATGATGATGAAACAAGAAACCAAACTAATTTTGATGTGGCTATGACACTTGTCAGAACCAAGTATTATGTGGATATTAATCAATGCATTAATGTGGAGACTGATGATCATATTTATCATGTCAAGATGGTGGAAGGCATACATGGGCCTAAGAGGATTGACATTCCCAAACATTATGATACATCTCCTACAAACTCGGAAGCAACATCATCTGATGATGGCAATAGAGTTTGGGACTTGGATGGAAGGGATGCAGATGATGATGGTCCTGGAAATGGTATGGTTAGTGAAAATGATGATAAGGAAGAGCCAATCATCAGAACTACCCCGCTGGTTGATTTGACCTCTCTGGTGGCCTCCTTGGGTAACACCCAATAACTTTTACCTAAGGACAAGAAAGATGTGACAACTACAGTAAAATAAATCCCTATTGTCAGCAGTCTGTAAAGCATGTCAATGGTGGGTCCCAAGGTGTAAGGGTTCAGAGGAAAAAGGCGGGTATGAACAAGTCCACTTTGGTGTATGGTAAATCGTCCAAACAACACCTTTTAGCTAAAGGCTCGTGGTAGATCCACAGGAACAGTGGACAAAAGTTCACAACGATTTATAATTTTGAAGTTGTTCCCCATGCGCGCGGGGGGGGGGGGGGGGGGGGGCGGATTCAAATTCGGTTTCAATGAGCCTTAATGATCCAGTGGGCCTTGAGTCTCTTAGGCCCAAGAAACATACAAAGAAAAAATTATTGGCAGAGATGCTAAAAAATGCTGATCAGCCTTCTACAAACTTTTTTGAACCTTTGAACTTCTATTTCCCGCCATTAACTGCAATGTCTACATCTCCCATCAATTATATCAATGAATCAACAAAATTCATTTGGTGGTTCAGTGTTGTGTTGTGATTCAATTTCTACGGGGGACATAATTCAAGGCAACGATAGAGTAAGAAGAAATCTCTAATTGAATGTTATTGTTAGGGTGCGATCTTAAATAAAAATATTAGGTATTATTAGGGAGGCCTCATGTGAAGCTTTTGAAGAGATCATCAGAAGCATGAAGGTAAGAGATTCTAAAGGGGCCATAGTGAAAATGGAGAACTCAAATGGTGAATCATGAATACTATATCTTTAAATATATGAGGGTGTGGTTTGGCAATCAAAAGAAAAAGGGTCAAGCAGTTAATTTTAAAGGGAAAAGTTTATCTCATTTTCATTAAGGAGATATACCTAAAAGTTATATCAAAGACATGTGGGGGGATGAGGATGTGTTATGGTCTTCTCAGGATGTAATTGGCCAATTAGGAGGGATGATTACAATCTAGAGGCTTGGGATCATTGTACCAATTTTGAGTTTTAAAGGCAAAAGTTTCTTAGGCATTCAGGCTATGTTCAGAGGTAAACCTATTTACTGCCTTAACATTTATTCATATTGCACCTTGGATCAAAAAAGACATATGTGGAAGAAAATAATCAATTGGAAGAACAAACTTAGCAATGGGGACTAGATCATTGGGAAGACTTTAACTCCATCAAGCATCACACAGAGAGGGTGGGAATTAATGACAGAAATAACTGAGTTGAAATGGAGGATTTTGCTGCTTTCATTGATTTTATGGAAGTTATAGACTTTCTATCTTTAGGAAATCAATTCACCTGGTTTGGATCTGATGGGAAGGAAAAAAACATATTCGATCATTTCTTGTTTCTGAAAGAATCATTGATTCTTGGAACCTTGTATCTCAAGAAATTGGTTGTATGGACATATATGATCATTGTCCAATTTGGATTAAAGGAAGTCATATTAACTTAGGCCATATTCCATTTAGGTCAAACAATTGCTGGTTTGATCATAATCAGTTTTTGGCCTTTATGGAAAGTCAATGGAAGGTTTACCATATTGTTGGGAAGATAACTTTCATCATGAAGGAAAGGCTTAAACTATTAAAACTGAGCTTAAAGGAGTGGAACAGAGATGTTTATGGAATGATTAATTTTAAGATAGAGAAAGTTATGAAGGAAATCAATTTTTTAGATGGAACTATTGATCATTCAACTGATTTGGCCATCATTAAAGAAAGGAAGGAGGTCCAAAAATAGACGTAGAACAACTTACATATGAAAGAAAGCCTATTGAAACAAAAAATCCAGACAAATATGGATTAAGGAAGGGGATCTAAATACTAGATTCTTCCATGGCATGTTAAATTTGAGAAGGAGGAGGAATATAATAATAGCTCTTGAAACTGATAGTGGGAGAGTGAAGGAGGTAGACTTAGTAAAGGTTGTGGCAAAAGATCATTTCAAAAATAGATTTACTGAACAAGGAGGCATAAGACCGTCTTTGGATGGTATAAAGTTCAATTGCTTGAGTGAAGTTCAGAGCAGCAGATTGAAAGAAGTATTTTCTAGAGAAGAAATCCGGAAAGTCATTTGGGAATGTGATAGTGACAAAATCCCTGGCCCTGATGGCTTTAACATCGCCTTCTTTAAGAAGTGCTGGGACATTTTGGGAGAGGATGTCATTGGGGTCATCCAAGAATTCCATACTACTGCACATTTTCGTAAAGCTGTAACTGCATCATTTTTTGCCCTAATTCCAAAGTCCTTAAACCCTCAAAATATTGAAGACTAAATGCCAATTTTTTTTAATTGGATGCTTGTACAAAATTGTGTCTAAGATCTTGGCAAAGAGGATTAGGAATGTTATTGGCATCTTAGTGTCGAATTCTCAAACAGGTTTCATCCCAGGTAGACAAATCCTTAATGGTGTATTGGTCACTAATGAGGTTATTGATTATTCAAAGAGATATAAGAAGGAATGCCTATTATTCAAGGTGGATTTTTCCCATGCTTATAACAATGTGTGTTAGGATTTTTTGAGGTACATGCTTACTAGAATGGGTTTTGGCAAAAAAATGGATTGCTTGAATGGAAGAAGGGGTCTTTAATAGCAACATCTCCATCCTAATCAATGGAAGCCCAACCCAAGACTTTGTTGATTCAAGGGGATTGATGCAAGGTGATGCTCTTTCACCCTTCCTCTTTGCCATCGTTGCTGAAGGGCTAGCAGGCATAATAAGGAAGGCTGTAGCCACTAATTTGTTTAAAGAATTCAAGATGCAGACAAATTTGGATGAAGTTTCTTTTGGTCTTTTGCAGTTTGCAGGTGACACAATCCTTATTGGTGATGGTTCTTAGAGAAACTTATGGGCCATTAAGTCCATATTGAGAGCTTTCGAGTTAGTTTCTGGCCTGAGAGTTAACATGAACAAGAGCAAGCTTTATGACATTGGTCTTTCTTCTTATTTTTTGCTGGCTGCATCAAACTTCCTTTCCTGCAGCATATACAACATTCATTTCAAATTTCTAAGGATCATGGTGGGCACCAATCCAAGAAGAATAATAGCTTGGAAACACATTATTTCCAACATGAAAAGCAAGCTCTCATGCTGGAAGAGTAGATTATTATCTATGGAAGGGATAATAACCTTATTAATTTCTGTTCTAAATAACTTACTTATCCATCATATCACATTTTACAAGATGCCTGATAAGGTAAGGAGATAAGTCATCAGAATTCAAAGACACTTTATCTGGTTTGGTTTGAAGGAAGGCAATGGAGTGAACTAGATAAATTGACTGGCAGTGTGTAAATCTAAATCTAAGGGAGGCCTTGGAGTTAAATACATTAGTAGATTCAAAGAGGCATTACGATGCAAGTAGGTTTGGAGGATTTTAAATTACAAGGAAGCCATATGGAGTGGCATCATCCAACTCAAATATGGAAACTTAATAAGGAGCATGTGGCTTGATGGAAATAAACATCATCCTTCTAAGAAATCTATTTGGTAGAGGGACCTCAATGCCATTTGACCAAATATGAAAATATTTTGTAATGAAAAAAATTGGAATTAGGCACATTACTAAATTCAAACTTGGAAATGGTGTATCAATTCCATTTTGAAAAGGAATTTGGCTTGGCTCAAAGCCCTTAGAAGAGATTTTTCCACTCTTATACTGTCACACTGCCAACACAAACGCCATGGTCAGTAACTTAGGGGATTGTTCTCAAGGATCATGGCAGTGGAAGACTAAAGGGGACATGACTTCTGGAGATCTTTTAATTACAAACGAGCTTCTACACTTAAATACAATACTGACAGATTTTTGCCCAAGCAACATGGTGGAGGATCAAATTCTTTGGGTGGCTATTCCTTCTCAATACTTTTTGTCAAATGCTACTATGAAACTATAAGGGGCCAAGGAATGTCTATGGATAGATTTACCACCTTGAATTCTATGTCGAGGAGATTGTGAAAGTTGAAAGGTCCATCCAGAGTTAAGGATTTTTGTTGGAGAATGCTCCTTAATAGAGTTCCAACTAGGCAGCAACTTTACAAGAAAAATATCATCCAAGAAAAATATCATCCAAGATGCTTTATTGGCCAAATATGTGTTTTGA